GCAAAGGTGGTGATGCTCTTAAACACTCAAAAAAGTGTCAATATGATGATGATGATTATGGAGGGCTGCAGATTCCCAAAAAGGAGGGATGAGCACATTTATGTTCATCACAAAATGAGGGCGGCTTTCATTGACATGACACTCCAGATGACAAATGGAGCCCAAATGAACCTCCGTTTGCCGAGCCAAAATGAGCAATGCTTCATAATAGGAACCTTGTGCTTTATTTTGTTTTTGTTCCACCCCTTTTGTTCTGCAATGCCATTCATCAGCATCAGTGGCATAGTTGTACAAAGCAGATGGAGCTTTGGTGGAAGAAAAATAGCATGTTGTATTTTATATTGAATACAGAACAGTAACGTAATTGGCTATCCATCCATTTTCTGTACTGCGAATCCTAATGTTAGCTTTAGTCTGTGTGGAGTGTATGCAAAGCCCTCCCTACAGGATGACGCATCTGCACTTGAGGCATCATAGTGGCTGGATTACGAAGACATAGAAGCAGTAAGGGGACTTGATACGAGTATTCAAGTCTGCGTTCTTTGCCTTTGTGTTGCCGCCGCTGCGTGCGATGGCCATCAAAGACTTCCACAGCCACCTTTGACATCTCACAGGATTGGCCTCTTACATAAGAACACAGCGGCTAACATACTGCAGGGCTGGCGGCGCACTGAGGGACTGGTGGGGGCGTCAAGAGCTAAATATTCCTCTGAAATGTCCCCCCCCCCCCACCCACCCAGCTCTCTGGACGAACTTCCTTCCTTAATTGCATGCTTCACTTATCTTCTTTTTCAAGAGCTCCTAAAGAATAAACGCATCTATATATGTACGCGTGTTAATGCATGCTTGCATGGATGGATGAGCTCGGCCTGTGCTTGAGAATGGTCAAAGTGGTGGCGTAGGGGGCTTTTTTTAGCGGATGCGCTCAAAGCGCTTGACAGTGTTGTTTTGTTCGCACTCACGCATGCAGTGAAGGTTGAGGCCGCTCTTTGGGGGTCCACACCCCAGCAGCACTTCATAGACGCACAAACCAAAGCCTTGAATAAGTGTCGCCACGTAACTATAAGAAAAATGATGTCACATATTTCTGTCTGGATAAAGGTGAGTGGATGTCAGGAGGGCAGGATAAAATTACTTTTTTAGTTTTTTATTTTTTTTTTTTAGCTAGCAATCATCTTATGTAGAATGCGGAAACTCATTAAAGACTCGAATCAAAATACAGCAGTACCTCTACTTACGAATGTCTCTTCATATGAAATCTTCAAGTTACGAAACGCCTCAACAGGAAAATATTGCCTCTTGTTACAATAGAAATTTCAAGATACGAAAGATAAAAATGCAGGATGGCCTGCTACTCGCAGCTCCGAGTTTCCTGAATACAACATACTTATAGCTGCTCTGCCGTTGGCTATTACCTAGCATCTTCCTGGCATCCCAAACAAGTGTTTGTGACATCAGCAAAATGTCAACTGCTCATTGACTACAATAGAAAAGCCAGGCTGGAATTCATCTGCCAAAAAGTATTCTAAATCAGTACGACAGGTATGCTGCAGCCAATCACAGCGGTCTTCGGGAAACTGGTTGCGACCAATCGCAAGGCGCAAATAGGCAAAAAACCATCCACACTCAAATTCGCATTGGCCTTAAAAAAATGCATCTCGGTCACGGCCCGAGAGTATGCATCGTTAGAATAAAAATTGTAATTTGGAAAGTGGGGTTTTCTCCTCTCATGAAACTTTTAACTTTATTACCATTATATTCGAATTTTATTGTCATAACATCACAATATTTTTCTCCTAAGACACAAACTTGCTGCCCCAAACATTAAAATATATATTTATATTTTTAAATCAGGAATTATAGACTCCAGCACGCCCGAAACTCTTGAAGATGAGCGGATTAGAAAATGGATGGATAAATAGGGAACTTTTTAATTCCTTGGACATCTCCGAGTATACATGGTCGTTTCTGCTTGATTGAAGTTAGGAAAATGAGAGGGTCCTCCTGTCAGGGACTCGAAGATGACAACCTGACAACTACAAGTCAAAGAGGCCGAGGTGAAAAGCTTTTAAGAGAATCGCAAAAGAACAAGAATCGAAAAAAGAACAATGTGACAAAATGTCCAGCAACTAATAATGTAGTGCGGAACATTTTGTACGGTATGGGACTAAACGACTGTGACAACTTGATCCCGTGTGCATTTCGAATGGTCATTTCAGCTAATAGCTTTTTCAACCCTACCAGTTCTCCAGACTGCTTTTGAACAAATGCTTTCCGGTGGGAATCATTTTGAAGGGAGAGCATGAGGTACACGATAAGTGGATCGACTTGAGTTTTTTTTTGTTTTTTATTATTATTATTTTTAAAGCTAACGTATTCGATTTTGCGTATGACTCCATTTCTCTCCAGCATCCCGCCTGTTGCGCTTGGTCAGATTGGTTCAGAATGCAGTTTGCTACACTCAGAATATCAATATATTAGACCAAAATTATACAAGCACTCTCAAGGGGACAAGTTTGAGCGAATGCCTCCTGCATGTAAAGAGGCGGCCAAGGACAATGACTGCCTGACTGCCTCCCTGTCTCCAAAGTGGCAGCGCAACAAGGAAGTGTTCCTGTTCCATCAGGGGATGAAGAGGAAAAAAAAAAATACTGTGTGCAGTTCTTTGCAGATAATCGTCTGGTCGGGGCTTCTTAACCAAAGGAGCTTTAGATATCCTGAACATTTTTTTTTTTTTTTTTTTTAATAGCTGGCTAGCAAGCTCGCTCCCTAGCTAGTTAGCTAGCTCGGATAGCTAGCGAGCTTGGATCGATAGATAGATAGATAGATAGATAGATAGATAGATAGATAGATAGATAGATATGGAGAATGGAGAACAGACTGAAACAATGGCAGCAATGTACAGTCGTTGCGTTTGAGGAACATGGTGGACACACACCATCAACTGATCAGCTGTTTGCTTGGCAAAATACAAAATGCCTGCAGCTGAACTGCATGCCTTTCAAATCCTGCCAAACCATGCTAAGAACACACACACACACGCACGCACGCACGCACACACACACACACACACACACACACACACACAAATGAGTGTAACTAGAAGAAAAAAAGATATATCGACCTATTTTGGTTTTCTAAAAAACTGGACACCGCACTTGATGCAAAAACTATTTTTAAGTGAAACAACTGAAGGTTTTAGTTTCTAAAGTAGTTCCAGGATATTATTATTTCCATTTCATTTTCCGATCCGCTTTATTCTCGCAAGGGTCGCGGGGCGTGCTGGAGCCTATCCCAGCCGTTTTCGGGCAGTAGGCGGCGTCCACTCTGAACCAGTTGCCAGCCAATCGCAAGGCTCACACAGCTGAACAATCATCCGCGCTCACACTCACACCTAGGGACAATTTAGATAGAGTGTTCCATTAACCTGCTACGCATGTTTTTGGAATGTGGGAGGAAACCGGAGTACCCGGAGAAAACCCACGCAGGCCCGGGGAGAACATGTAAACTCCACACAGAGAGGCCGGAGCTGGAATCGAACCCTGCACCTGCGCGCTGTGAGGTCGCCACCCAGTAACAATACAAATGAATACAATTCCCGGTGCATGAGAACCATATGAACATCAATAAATTAACAGAGAATCAAATGTTTTACTGACCAGTATCTTGGTGGTGTAGGCGCTGTTGATGGAGATGGAATTGACAAGCAGGTCCAGCGATTTGGGAGGCAGGACACCCGGCTCGGGAATCTCCTTGTAGTGCACATCGCCGATGTAGCATTGCACGGCCGTCATGCGGTTGGTGGTGAGTGTGCCAGTCTTGTCCGAGCAGATGGCGGTGGCGTTGCCCATCGTCTCGCACGCGTCGAGATGACGCACGAGGTTGTTGTCCTTCATCATTTTCTGTCGTTCAAAACAACCCCAAAAAAAGTCTCACAAAGGCAAAGTAAAATACGCGAGGGCGCGGTAGGGCCGGTCGGTCACCTTGACGGAGTAGGCCAGGGAGATGGTGACGGCCAACGGCAGACCCTCAGGCACGGCGACCACCAGCACCGTCACGCCGATGATGAAGAACTTGACGAAGTACTGGATGTAGATGGGCGTGCACTCGGGCAGCCAAGGACGCTTCTGGATGACGAAGGCGTCGATGGCGAAGTACAATACGAGGATGATGACTGTGATGGCCGACATGAGCAACCCTGGCAAATACACCACACATTGAAAATGTGACATTAGCTTGAAACCCCAAATTGACAATTTTACTTTGAAACCCCAAACCAGGCTTGAAACCTTCATTTTAAAGTCCCTTAGCTAGACTTGGAATCCCAAATAAATTGAAACCATGACCAAACCTTAACCCTCATTGAGAACTAGTCCTGGATAGAAACCCTAATTTGGATTTATAAACACCGTTTGAAATCCTAATATGAAATCCTTATTTAAATCTCTAACCCTGACTTGAAGCACTAACTTTGAAACTAAATTCTTAACTAGGACATGACATCTCCATTTGAAACCCCAAACCACCTTCCAGGACAGAAGAAAAGTGTGCTAGTCAAACGTTAAAAAAAAAAAAAAAAAAAAAAACATGGCTGAAGTAGATTTGTCAGGATCAAAAAGATCATCTGACTGTCATTCTTCATTTTTAAAGAGATTTCGAAACAACTTAATATCATCGCGACGCAGCAATTTCAATGGGAAACAGGTTGTACAAAATGGTGAGCTCTCCAGCAGGATTCCCGATAGAGCGCGATAAATCAAGGAAGCCTCCAAGGCAAGCAAGAGCAAGCACAGAGTATATATAAAGCGGAATCATTCAAACCTAATTTTGCTTTGTCGTCAACTCAAAAAGGTCAAGCAGTACAAGTGCTTTAATCAGTCTTTGTATTTGGATTAGACTCAAGTCGACAAATGTGAGCAATTCCCTCTGCTGGAAATCAATATATACATTTTTTTTTATGGAGCAAGCAACTTGGAGGAAAGACAGATTTTGACACTGTACGCTGTACACCTGCACAATCTAGCGAGGTGCAATGTAAGCAGCGCATCACAAACGTGGACCTTTACCACGATCAGCTTTGAGATGCTTTCATTGATCAAAACTGTATATTTAGATCTGTGGGCGTTACTTGCATTTTGGATCACTTGAGAAAACACATTAGAAACTCCAGTCAGGAAGATGCAGTGACTGCATGTATGGATTCTATTCGTATTCATGGAGGCGTACCCAAAGGAAATTTACCTGAGGAAGTTGCCATGATGTGATAAGATACAGTAAAACCGTTAAAACAAGTTTTTTTTCCTTTCTTTTTTTTTTAAACAACTGTAAACATTTGCATATTTAGGCGGCTTGTCAGATAGCAGCTTCTCTGCAATTCGACGAACACTGCATTCCGCTCGCCTTCTCATTAAAAAAAAAAAATAAAAATCCTCTTCTTATTTTTGACTTGGTGAAGCAGCTCGTGTCACACAACTTGTGGTCATGGTGGTGCTTGTGTGGCAGTTTTGTGTACTGCATTCCTCCTGTCTGCTCTATGGAATTTCACTTTTTTTTTTAAGGCTTACCCAAAGTTATTACTGTGTATTCTGTTCCAAGTAACTGTCAACAATATTTTAACGTTGCCTTGTATGACATCAGCTGTCATATACCGGTAGGACAGAAGACCTTGTGTAGCGCATTCCATGAATTTGCTGTATGCTATTTCTCTTCTTTAGACTTACTGAAGCAATATGTAGCTGGTCATTTTTGTCAACAATTGTATTTGCCGATACGACGGCAGCTCCTATGACATAGACTGGCGTGTTCGTCGGAAAGACCTTGTGTTCTTCATTCCGCATATCTCCTCTGTGCAATTTATTTTCTTCTTTAGACTTAGTGACGCAGTGATGTGGATCGTGAATCAAGGTTCTTTGTACGCTTTGTATTCTAGGAACTGTCAGCAATTGTCCGAGCATGTTTGTGGTCATGACAGCTCAATCTTATGTACTGCATTACCTCCATCTGCTCTATGCAATGTCGGCTTGTCTGGGAGGATAGGAACAACATGAGACTACGGATGGTGTTTTGCAGAATTAATTATGCCGATGCGATGCCATATGTCCTGCTGGAAAGTTTTTTTGTTGATTTTTTTTTTTTTTGTGCTCGACGTTGAACCCCAAGTCACCTCGCAAAGCTTTAAATGGTGCTTCGTGGCGCGCCACACTGGGTGTCAGGCAGAGTTCACGGCGATGCGGTAGTAATATAAAGCCCACACCCGCGAGACAATCACAAGATCAAAGTCCACACAGTCTGCGCCAAGAACACCAGATAGTCCAAAGTGTATGCTAATCCATCCGCAGCACTGCATTGTTCTGACAACACGTCCTCATTCCGTCACTCACGCCGACTGGCTGATGTAACGGTGTCGCTATGACAACAAGGACTTTCTTTGAGGAATTTTCAGAACAAAATGCTTTTTTTTCTCTCCACAAAAATAGTCCCTCAAACATACTTTATGATTCAACTTTTCAGTACTTAGCTTAAGAAAAAAACAAAAAACAACTTTACATGCATGTTAGACGTGATTGGTGCAGAGAGGACACCCACAATGTGGGCATGTTGGCTAAAAATGCCAGCCTACACACACACACACACACACACACACACACACACACACACACACACCCTCAAACCCTAAATTTATGCATAGGTCCACAAGTGCAAGAGTATTTTTAAAAACTCCATGAGAAAACACCTTAGCAAGCTGTCAAGCGCATGCCAAAGCAGCAGGAGGCGCTATGACCCCAAAGCTAGGCATGATGACATTTTAATAAGTAAGAACAAATTACCATAAAAATTCTCTGAATATCACACATTTTTTCCCCCTGAAAATATAATTCCAAATCTAAGTGGGGGAGGGGTTATTTTCGAAAGAGCCTAATGAAGAAAGGATTTTTTATTTATTTATTTTTTGCTTTTATGAGACACGTACCACTACCTCGGCATTACCTAAGGGTTGTTACAAAAAAAGGCGCAATTTCATTTCAGTGTGTTAAAGTCAAATGTTCCAAATTAATATAATAATTATCATAATATATCATTTTCACGACTCACCGTGAATCAAAAAGTGCATTGCCGTATTTGACACCTGTTATCATATTATAGCGTCCTTGAAAAGTCGGAGCAAATGTGAGTCTGTGAACTCCATTTATCGATGTCAAAAAGGTGTTAAGGTTGTAACGGACCAACAAACAAACAAAAAACCCCCACAAACAATTAGCCCCTCGCGGCTGAAGCTCGAGAACAGCCCTCTTAACGTTGCCACTGTTACTGACAACTTCTGTTTGGATTTCGCTGTGATCAGTATGTGTCTTGCGCCAGAGTCCTCGTATGGACTAATGAGAGCCTCTCGAAGGACATACTCGCATGTCAATCCAATTTTTGACCAAATTGGGTTATTTTTGACTTTGCAGTTTTAAGAGTGTACTCTTAATTCTTCCTTGTCAGACTTTACCTGCTTTGCCAATCTGGACAGCGAGCTTGGTAAGCTTCCCTTGCAGCACAGACTTCTCCTTCTTGGGAATGGACACCTTCTTCCGCTCCTTCTCCTCTTCGCCACCCTCGGCGCTCTTAAGAGGTTGCATCTCCATGGCGGCCGCTCCATCCTGCTTCTTCACTGCAAAGAGCACACGGCCACAACGAGCAGCACCGGCGTCAGAAACTGTCAGTTTGGGGCACAGAATAAGGGTGGAAAAGGAAAGTGAGGGTTTAAGCAAGGAGAAATCAAAATAAGAGGTCATTCATATGCAACGTCCTTTGGAAAGAACGTGATCAAAGCCAAAATGTCGGGCGACATACAAACATAGTTGTAAAAATGGTTCAGGATTGGATTTGAGATCCCGTACATATGCATCAGGGGTTTTACGGCGGTTTCTACTAGCGGCGCTCTGATCAATCGGCCAACGATGGTGATCGATCTATTTCCGTGGAAAAGTACGAGATTGGCATATGTCGATCAATGCTTTTCACTGCCGATCAGCCGCCGCTCGTACTTTGCAGCCTGCAGCCAAGTAGACAGCAGTTCATCTGCAGTGCCGCATCCTCTTTCCCATTTCCTTAACACCGAATGCGACAGATGAAACCAGTAACTGAATCATAATAGAGGTCTGTGCATTTAAAAAATAAAACAGATTCATGAATTAATCAAAAATTTACAGATTCATCGATTATCCAAAACATTATTTGTGAGCAGCTCTAAAATTGCTAAATAGGCAGAGATCCTACGTGATCGGGAACGTCCAATTTCATGGCTGATCGATATCGGAATCGGCAGCATAGTACCCTAATTTTTAACCATAATTAATTAGAAAAACAACGATAAGCATAGACTGTAGCATAGACTATGATATGAAAGTCTAGAGCAGGGATCGCCAACCTTATTGAGACTAAAAGCTACTTTTTGGGTACAGTACTTATTAAAGGGCCACCAATTTATGACACTGGTGAAATAAGCATTTGCACAAATGAATATCATTATATTTCATGACTCATAAATGATTCTGTTTATATATGTGATGACAATCATGTTCTTGATTTCTCACAATAATTAGGACACAGATTAATATCATTATGCAACACTTTATTTCGAGAGCACTTTGCCTGTGTTCACGTTTCCAAATGATCACTTGGACAACATTCCTAGAAAATGTCCCATTACTGCTAAGCTATTTTAGCACAGGTCCGCGAGCTACTCATGTAGTCCTTGCGGGCTACCTGGTGTATGCAGGCACCACGGTGGTGACCCCTGGGCTAGAGATTCGACCACAACATGAAAGCCTGATGTGTCGACTGCATCACAAGAAACAGGAGAGCCAACTACGAGATGAGAGCGTCAACTACGACATGAGAGGCAAAAAGTGCCATAATGCCAAATCACAGCTTGAAGCGGCTACTAAATGATAGCTTAATGCGTTCCCCGCGACACGAGAGCCTAGAGTCAATTCAGACACGTGAACCTCAAGCGACAACTAAGAGAGTCAACAACAACATATGATCACAAAGAGTCAACTCTGGCATGAGAGCATCTCTCGTCAATTATGAGAGAGTCAAACACAACACGACAACCTAAAACTCTGGAGAGTCAACGACAGTTTAAGAGCCTCGTGTGTAAATTACAAGAAGGTCAACCACAACATGAAAACCTAAAGTATTAACTACCACATGAGAGCATAGAGTCGACGACAGCACATCAGCCAACCTGAAGTGTCAGTGATGATATGACAGCCTCAAGTGCCTCTCGTCAATTATGAGAGTCAAACACAACACGACAACCTAAAGTATTAACTACCACGTGAGAGCCTAGAGTCGACGACAGCCAGCCTGAAGTGTCAGTGATGATATGACAGCCTCAAGTGTCAACCACGAGCCAACCACAAAACAAGAGCCCAAAGAACAAACCTCCACATGAGAGCCTCAAGTGTCCACTATGAGAAAGTCAACCACAACACGAGAATCTGTCGACCACATTACGAAAGCCGAAGGCATCAACTAAGACATAAGAACCTAAAGTGTCACCTACAAAGTACCACGAGAGAGCCTTGAACAAGGGTCACCAACATTTGTGAAAGTGAGAGCTACTGCTTAGCAACTGATAAATGTGAAGGGCTCCCAGTTTGATCCATCCATCCATCCATCCATAATTTTCTGATTGGCTTATCCTCACAAGCTGCAGCCTATCCCAGCTGTCTTCAGGCAGTATGCGGGGGACACCCTGAACTGGCTGCCAGCCAATCGCAGGGCACACATAGACAAACATCCATCTGCGCTCACACTCAATCCTCAGGACAATTTGGACTGTTCAATCAGCCTCTCATGCACGTTTTTGGAATGTGGGAAGAAACCAGAGTACCCGAAGAAAACCCACGCAGGCACAGGGAGAACATGCAATCTATAAATCTCTGCCAGTATTTTTAAATCATCACTTCCAACAGGCCAAGAAAATTATAATGTCTCAACTCTCTGCTGAGCCTCGACCACCTACCGGTACATGTCGCGGCAACGTTAATGCGCGTGTGTCCAGTACAGCAAAGCTTTTTGGAGACAGTGTTTGCGGTGGCGAAAAACTTAAAAAGCTGTGATCCTCACTTTTGCTATTCAATGTGTTTTAATGAGGTGTAAAATGCAAATCTCAACTTGCAAACTGTGACGCGAAAACACTTATTTCGAGCCTTGCTGCGACTGGAGAGTGTCAACAATGAGCGTTAACCACAACATGAAAGCCTTAAACGTCCATAAAACTGTATTGAATGTCAGTTTTTGTAATGTCTTATAAAGGGCCTCTTTACATAATTTAAACCTTTCATGCACCCTGTTAACCTGATAACATGATAAGATGTGCACTGTAGCAACCGCTGTCCCTGAAAAAGGTTAATGTGGCCGTTTGAGATGAATGAACAATGGATGAACAATGGGAAAAAAAAAAAGGTCCAGCGCGCAACTGAAGTCCTATCGGGAATTCTCAGGATACTGGTACTGAACGTTTTCAGCTGCTGGGATGACCTGATCACATTACAGAAGCTGCTGTCGTCACGACAACATGTCAACAAGAAGAAGAACAAGAAGAAGAAGAACAACAGGACATCACAGCAGTGGCAGACGCAGCGGTGGGGAGGGGGAGGACGGAGTGGAGAGGAGGGGGTTTGTAGGCTAACCTAATAAGACTCCAGGTTAAACAAAGGCCAAACATGAGCTCTGATACAGCCCAACTCCTTAATTGTCTCGGAGAGTAAATTCCCCAGGATCCTTTTCTGCATTCAAAATGCACATTCCTCGTGGAGACAAATTGAAGGTAACCGGGGTTTTAGCCCCCCACCACTAACCGCCCCCCATCTTATACCGCTCACCAGAGAGAGGGAGGAAGGGGAGAAGGGTAAGGAGGCGGGAAGGGCAGAGGGAGAGATGTGGTCTGGTTACCTTTCATCTGGTTGCTCTCCATATTGCCGTCTTGCATTTTACCTACGATGGACACATACAAGACAATAACACCAAAGATAACCAAGGCAGACAAGTCAACAAAGAATCATCACATGGACAATCAACACACAGTGGAGGGAACCCCACCTCCCAGCAAAAACAGAAAACAAATACAGGGAGACAGGAAAATGACTTTTAATATAACGTCTTTGCAACATAGAAAGTGATATGCGAGTGGGCTGGGTTGCACAATTCAAAACCTTTCCAAAAAGCTTGGGAATTCATGTTTGGGTGATCATTTCTTGAATATAATATAACACTTCTTTTACACAGTTGGAGGAAGGCCTGTCCATGTCTCTCGTTGCCGTCCCACAGCAGTTTGTGACCAGCGCTTAAATCAACTTGGGCGTGATACACAAGGACCAATACAACCCAGATTGGATGATATAAGGTGACTGCTGTCCATCTTGTCTTTTCTTTCAAAATACGTTTCAAGTTTCTTTTTCTTTTCAGACAAATGACGTGCAAAAAAAAAATCTTTTGAGTAAAAAAAGAGAAACTTTAAAGCCACATATGGTGACTACTGGTTTAAGAGGGGACTGCCATCCCACAACAGTGTTTGACCAGCGTAAAGCACCAGGCTGTTTTTTTTTTTTTTTTTTTTTGGGCAACTATTTTCTGTTCACCCCACTGAAGCTCTGGAACTCAACATTTATCGAATCTGCTTGTGTGTCTCCAGTCACCAACCCAAGCACGTTAGCAGACTTGCAACAACTGGTTCCAGAGTTAAAGACTACCCCACAGCAGTGTGATGTGCAAGGCTGTGGATCTTTCTTTCTTGCACTGGGAAATCAACCTGGGTATGCTATTCGTTCTTTGGTGATCAATCACACAGTCGTTGGCTGTCTTTATACAACTCCTGGTGGAGGACTTGTGATGACCGTTGGTTGAAGGGCGGAATGCCATTCCACAGCAGTGTGTCATCAGTATACGGCACTACTGAGGCGCTCATTACTTATGTGAGCCGGTTGTTTGTTCTAGAGTGTCCAACATAACCATGTTGGCTTGTTGGCTGACTTGTGACAACATTGGTTTGAACAGTGGGAAAGGCCATCCCACAACATTGGGACATCCCACAACATTATTTTCCTCATGCTATTGAAGCGCTAGACCTGAACATTCATTGGAACACAAGCCCATTGGCAGACTTGCACTGACAGGTTGAAGAGTGGAAGGCCATCCCACAGCAGCGTGTGAACAGGATGGGGTGTCAAGTTCTGTACGGTTCTTACTAACACTTGTAAGATGATTGAAGTCCAAGATGGCGCCCGAGTAGGCAGCCATCTGCAAGTGCTCTCATGAGCCTTGCTTTTTTTGTTGTTTTTCTGTTTGTTTTGTCACTTTGTGTTTGTTGTTACGTCGTGTGGACCTGATGTGGACTGTTTTCAGCATTTTTTGGCCACGACATTCATCAAGGAGGAGACTCGGTGCTTGGTGGTTTTGCTTTCTCGGCAGCATGGGTATGCCAGCACTGTTTTTGATTGGGAGGAATGTCGGCGCCATTTGACTGTCGTTGCTGGACAGCTCCGGGGGCGCTTGTGTCTTGCGCCTGTAATGGGCAGCATTTTCACAGCCCCGCTTTGTTCAGCGGAGAGATCGGTGCTGTTGAACGGTCTGCGGCTGGATGGATGCAAGGCTTGAGGAGCCGACGATGAGAAGAAAGGAGCGTTAGCGCAGAGCGCCGATGCGGATGTGGAACCGGGAGTCGCGGCTTGGAGTTGAAGCGGATTACATGGGACAGGAGTAGTGAACTAATCTCTTTTTGTCAATGGACGCTACAGCTTCGTGTTTGCTTTCAAAACTTAGCTTGTAGCAGACGTGCACATTTTCAGCATGACGTCTCTGATCCACTGGTAAAAGGACACTTTGATCCTCTCCTCTTTCATCTATAACTGCTTCAGACAACAAAGTGTATGCAGGAAAGTGGTGAAGATTGCACGACTGTCTGTGTCCTATGTGTTGTGTTGTGTTATTTTTGTTATTTTGACTTCAAGATGGCGCCGCGTGAGTGGCTGCCTTTCCAGCAGCTCCTATATTTTGTTGTTCTACTTCTTCCATTCATAACTTTGCTGCTGTGAATTGGGAATTTCTCCATTGCGAGACTAATAAAGGTTTTCTTATCTTATCTTGTCTTATGAACTTTGACGTGCTGTTTGTTCCAGAATGAAGAAAATATCCATACCGGCGGATTTATGGTGACACCGGATTGAAGAGTGGTGAGGACCACCCCAGTGTGACCAGCATATGGTGCCAAGATGTTGTGACTGCATATGTTTCTACCAAAGCTCTTGAACTGATTTTTTTTTAAAGAGGTCAGCTTGTACTTTAAATGTGACCCATCATCTTCAACCCCCCAAAAAACAAAAAATAAAATGTTGACTATCTTCTGGCAAATCCTGGTTGAAGAGTGGAAGATCATTTCGCAGCAGTGTGTGGCTAGCCTGAGGTGCTAATGAGTCTCTTCAACAGACTACTTTTGGAATCAGCTAGACCGTAAGAGAGTGAGCAACACAACCGAATTGGTTGACGACTCCTAGTTTAAAGTGGAAGGCCATCCCGCAGCTGTGTGTGCCACCAAGATTTCTCAGAGTATAAAATGAACCGCCAAAAAGCCACAAACATGAATTTCCCAACGTTTTGGTGTATGTTGACTTTGCGTGCGTTGCATACATCGCACAAATAAACGATCGATAATTCCACGGCACATTTCATCCAACAAATTGAACAGGCTGTGCAACGTATGGTGAAGCATTTTAACATCGAACACAATGATGGCTTCGACAGCACACAATGGCGAAAGCGTGCACAAAGTATGCGAGCGTGCAGCATCACAGACTCAAAGGGAAGCAGAATGAATATGTGAAGAGGGAGGGAAGGCGAGAGGGCCTGAAAGACAAAAGCCTCCCACACGATGAAGTTATGTAAGGAGCGAAAATAAATAAATAAATAAATAAACAAATAACAATTTACGTTTGGGGACAGAGAATTTATTTAATTTGCTGGTAGATTCTTGCTTGCTGACAAAGTTTAATTTAAAAAGATGTCTTCCTCATATGTTTGCTTGTTGTCTGCCATGTTAGCCGTTTTAGCTATCGCGCTGCGTTGTGGACGCCATTTCTCTACCCCGGGCTATAATTACAGCGATGAGCCTTAATTGTCTACAAATTAAGACAAAAATCTTAAATATTACCAGAGACGAATGCCGGACCTGTCTACAAGGCTGCAACGTCTCTGATTCATACAGCAGACAGGAGAGTTGCGCTGAGAATGACAAATCACTGCATCCCGGGACACTGCAAGGTCGCCGTCACAGTACAAATACCCGCCCAGCTGTGTCGAGCACAGGCTGAACGTTGGCGCCGGTATCCTTGGAGACGCCGCGGTGCCACGGTGAGTTAATCTTTTATTTCATCCCGAACCAGCAAAAAATACGGATGAGAAGGAGTTGCACTGAAGGAAGTAAAGATGCTATCATCTCTTTTGTCTGATTTTGTCAGCCAGATCCTCATTTATTGTTAAATAGGAAGATATACACCCAGGCTAAAAATATATTATCTTTTCAGAATGCTTTGTTAAATCAGGTAAGAACAGAATATATTTGCAGAATCTTTTGCACTCTCTTGAAATATAATACTTATTCCCATGTGCAAATTCACCATGGTTGGGAAGTCCGGTACTTTAGGCTTTAGCTGGTTGCCTCTGAAAACCGGTAGCATCAGGGCAAGCACAGCTAATGTGATAAGAGGCTTCATGTATGATTCTTTTCTGCTTTTTTTTAACCATGATGACAACCGCTATACAATTTTTTTTTTAAGTGAAAGTGCGCTGCAAGTTTTGTTTGTTTGTTTGTTTGTTTGTTTTTTAATGGCATTCCTTGCACTGTATGTCTGATGGACCCCAAATGGGGGGATTGAGGGAGGGGGGGGATTGAATACTGGTGTCAATAACTTGATCAAAATCCGGCTTAGCCCAAATGCGGATAAAAATCTTATAGCACCCTTGGTAAAAATCATGGAATCACTAGTGTCGGAGGACTTTTAGTTATTTCAATTTGTAGAAAAAAAGCACATCACAGACATGACATAAAACTAAAGTCATTTCAAATGGCAACTTTATACTTTGAAGAAAAACTAAAAGAAATCAAGAAACAATACAGTGGTCAGAAATAGTTTTGCAGGGGTGTCAAACACATTTTAGTCGCGGGCTAATTTGGAGTTACGTTTTCCCTCGGAGGGCCGTTATGACAGTGAAACCACAAAATTATTACTTGTACACAAAAAATGAACAGATTACTAGTTTTGAAATCAGTCAAGTCAATTATATTAGTTTGTTCAATTATTGCTCAAGTGAGTGTAAACTGCGGAACAAAATTATTGCAAAATCTCAAAGTTATTTATTACACATGACAATATGACATTTTGAGACACATTTTAGCCAGTTGACACACATGATTTGCTTTCGCGGGCCACATAAAATGACCTGGCGGGCCGGATCTGGCCCCCGGGCCTTGAGTTTGACACCCGTGGTTTTAACCAAGACGAGTCGGGAAAAAAAATGGAATCACTCAATTATGAAGAAAATTATGGAATCCTAAAAAACAAGAGCAACAAAAGAACACTTCAACACAACACTAGTACGTAATTTGGTGGACCATCTCTGGCTTTTGGAACGGCTCCAAGTCTCCGAGATTTCATGATAAACGATTCTCTTCATCAATCTGCCTCCAACTTTCTCTAATTGTTTTTGCCAAATCAACTTTGGAAGGTTCCGTCAAAGATTTTCAATTGAATTGAGATCCGGACTAGTTGCAGGCCATGACAACGACCTCGTGTGTCTTTATTCAAAGAATGTTTTTCACAGATTCGTTCGATGGTGAGATGCATCCTCATCTTCAAAAATTATTTTATTATCCCCAAACATCCATCCATGTTGACGGTAAGAGACACTACAAGCCCAGACAGTGGGGGGAAAAAAAAAATGGTAGCAGAGAGTACAAGGCAGTGGATGTCTGACATGATGAGGAGGTCAAAGATGACGACAGAGAGAGAATCTGAGGTTTTGTCAACCTACCATTAATAAGGTTGGCACTGCCTGGGGCGTTAAAGCCCGCCGCCCCATCCGTGGCAATAGTGGCGATGGGGTGGATGGGGGGATGCGAGCAGTCTAGCCAGTAACAATGGAAGCCCAACACAGATGGACACACACACAGACAGTGAACAGAAATAACATGGTTATAGGACAGGTAGCATTTTTCAGCATCTTCATTTAGTCACGATTAATGGCGCCGATTAAACGAGTGGCGTATTTATCATTTGTGTAATGTGGTCAAAAACAAACAAGTAGAACATTGGACAGACACGAAACACACAGTCTAAACAGATCGTTTATGGGAAGGAATCTATGCACAGAAGGCACAACCTAGGGATGAAGAAATTCCGTTCAAGCTCGCGTGGTGTTGGAGAAAGTGCAACGGGTCTCACGGGCATTTTATTTGTCGGGCAGCTGCCATGTCAAGTTTGGTTCAATTCATTGTAATTGAGTGAATGATGATGCCTTGAGGAGATTTTTCTACGTGAATGACTCGACTGTTCAAAAAAACAAATTTGGTTAGTAGTGGTCACTTCGTCTTGAAAGTGTGTGCACTGCAGCGCTCAGTGATTTTTTTTTTTTTTTTTTTTTTTACAGGAGGGCTTAAAAAGTCTTTATTGTACTACAAATTTGATCACATATGCTTTGGTCTATTGAAATTGAACCTCAATCCAGGATTTAAAGAACTATAGAACAGAAGTGGAGGAAGAGTCTGACGGCCCCGATTTTTGTGCCCGGCACAAGTTTAGCGCTAATCGCCGTCTGACGGTGTGCATGGGTGGAGTTTTCTTTCTTTTGGTAGTTGCGCCGATGGGCACAGATGGAAAGGGGCGTTGGTGCCATCGTGTGCCGTCAGATGGAACACAGCCAGCATGTTTATATGGTGGAAGGACTCACACACACCCAGAGAGGGTACTTTGAAAAGTATATTTAAGATGATAATGATTCATTCAATGAATTGATTTCTAGAATGATTCAGAGGAATTGACGCAAGCTGTTGTCATATTTATGAATGAAATACAATGACACCCTTCACACACATTCGCGGAGCTCAGAATCGGTCTACCTGCGCCTCGATTAAATTTCCCAAAATCGTGTTGTAACAACCTGCGGCACAACTTAGACCTGCTTGTCGCGGGTCTAAGTAATACTGCAGTCACCCAATTGTCAGGCGTGAAAGAGAAACGCGCTTGGGCCACCGGAAAGCCCAGCGCGGCCCAACACGGTCTGCTAAACTCCCAAACACAGTAAACTGGATGTGTCGGTTTATAAAAATCGGGTCTTGAATCTTTATATTGCTAGTCGAACAAACAGCCTGGATCATTTTGGATTGTTAGTCACATGCAACTCAAACGGAGGGAAAATTGTGGATTTTTCAAACTAGGTTCCTGAATCACATGACAAATGCACTCCAGGTCGAACTGCTCTGGTGTTATTTTGCAATACCGAGATGACTCAGTCACAAACTAACTGACCCACAAAATCACTAACTGACCAACCAAAGAAGTGTCAAACTAGCTGACTAACCAACTCACTGATTAAGATAAGACAAGATAACCTTTGTTTTTTTTCCACAATGGGGAAAAATGTTTACGAACTGACTGACTGACCAAACAACTGCGCTAATACAGTATAACCACTTGAGCTACCAACTAAAAACCAACTACCCATGACCCTTGTTGAGGTGGGAGGTGACTTGAGGCTGATTATTAGCGCAGGGGTTAAAGGTCAAAAGAATTGAGTGCACCACCCCCAGGGTTGAAACGGAGAAGATACTCTACCTGTGTTCTGGGGTCCGTCTTCCACTGCGCCTCCTTCAAGGCAAATGTGGCACAATGAGAACAAGTAAAAGACAAGAACTCTCCTGAGGTCCACGGCACCTCAACACCCAACCGCATTAAACCGAGCACACGATATACAGTATTTCAAGCATGGCCCGTTAGCATTGTGATCAAATCTATACTTTCAAGGCTTGTGGGCACAAATATTGCTTTTTGCGGGGGAATAAGAGCTGAAAACACATATGAATTGTGTTTATTAATTAAAAAAAAACTAAAAATAGTCTGGATAGGCTTGCCTTTCTTTTCTTTCTTCTCTTCTTCCTCCACGCCAGCTCCGAGCAGGGTGAAGATTATTCCAGTCTGAGAGTTGACGCCCACTGCGGTCACCACCATGCGCCCCGAGCCCTCCATCACATGGGTCCCTGCAGGGAAGATGGTTTTTTTTTCTTCATGCCGTTTTTGCTCATTTTTTTTCGTCCTATGCTATATGAATATTGTTCAAGAAAAATACATGTTAAAGTAAAAAGGACCCATATTTAGTAACCTATAAATGTAAATCCAAAGGGATGCCAGATTTTAGTGCATGGGCCATTAAACAGCCGATCAGCAAAGAAAAGGTAAACCATAATAAAAAGAGGTCAATCAAAAGTGATGGAAAGAAGTTACAATTGTCATCACACGTTTCCTTCTTTCCATAATTTAACGCTTTCATGCACCCTGTAACCTGATAACATGATAAGCTGTCCACTGCAGTAACCGCTGTCCCTGAAAGGGTTAACTAACTAGTCCCCTTCTGTGGGTGCTACTAATACGCATATAACTCAAAAAATAAAGGCAAAACACTGGTCTTGTAGTAATATTCGTGTTATTTAAATCCCTAATAGAAATAATAATAATTCAACATAGAGGCTTATTCCCTACTAACATTGTTCTTGCATTTGTCTATGGAGTTAGAGTTGAAATATACAAACATTGTCGTAGCACTCACACTAACACGCGCACATGCGTGCGCACACATGCGCGCACACACACGTACTCACAATGCAAGCCTGATTAACCTTTGGGAGAATGTGGGTGAATTTGAGGCTAATTAATGAAGGCGGCAAAACGGCACACAGCTAATTATCCAAAGATGGGAAAAAAAATGCTTGAGAGAGATTAATCCCCCCCCCCTTTTTTTTTTAAATTTAATCAGAGATCTTGTGCGACTCCTACAGTGACAGAATGTGATTTATCTGACGCAGCAAACACTTAAAATGCCCGAAGATAAGTTTAGCGAGCGCAAAGGGGAAATATGTCAACCTTGGGATTATAATAAACAAAGTTTTTCCTTTGTTTGGATTCATGCCAAGGTAGTCAATTAATTGCATTCATGGAGTACGTTGCATGTAAAAAGAACGATTGCGTCCGTTAATAACGAAAAGCTGTCCTCCACAAAGCAACGGGTAGATAAAGTGAAAACAGAAACGTTCAAATTGATGTTAAATGGGAGCCAGCACACAGTTACCGCCAGCAATTAAAGCATTTCCGATGAAACTCCAAATGAAGTAGAGCAGTTCTAGGCCTCTCTTGACATTTGTGTCATCGAATCCCCGGCATTTGAACAGGGATGTGTTGAGTTTTGATGTGGACTGTGAGTTTATTGACATACCAGAAAGCAACATGGGGTCTTTGTCTGCGGCCTTCTTCACGTGATCAGACTCTCCGGTCAGCGACGACTCGTCGATCTTCAGGTCGTTGCCTTGGATCAACACTCCGTCGGCAGGGAGCAAATCACCTAAGAAACAAAAAGACAGGAGCTCGGTTACAACACTGACACGCTTGCATTGAAATGTTTGTTCTTCCGACTTTCATAGGCAAACTAAATTGACGTATGGCTTTACCATATTTGATTTGTGCGATGTCGCCCACCAGTATGTCCGATACGGGCAGCTGGATGACTTGGCTTCCGCGGACCACCTGGAACTTCTGCTCCTGCTCGATGCGGCTCTGCAGCCCGCGAAACTGTTTCTCCTTGGACCAGTCGTTGAAGGCGGTCACCAGCACAACGCACACCACCGACAGGAGGATGGCGGCGCCCTCGATCCAACCCGCCTCCGCCTCGCCCTCATCCTCCACGCCGCCCTGCACCGAGCCGCAAGCTGTCCAATGGAGACAGTGTTATATGGAACCTGTGCCATTTAGTGCGGGGGGCCTAACCAAAAACCTCCAAACCACTTAAATTGGGCGTCAAAGATCATGATTAGTTTAATTTGGAACGTAATGCATTTTTAGCTCACATTGGAAACTGCAGTCTGTGTTGTGAACAATGTAAAGAGTTTATAAACAAAATGTAATTTTCACTCAATTTTGTGCCTATCATTTAGCATGCGCAAATGCATAAATCAATTAATGAATCAAAGCAGCGTGTCGCTCTCCAACAGTGCGATAACAGCAACTTGAGGCAGCCTTGCAGCTGTCCATGGCACTGAAGTAATCGCTGTAGAAATCTGCACTGTCCCTTTTTTTTTTTTCTTTTTTTTAAATTTTCACGATACAGTAATTTATTAGCGATTATTTTTGCAATTTGATCTTTGGACGAGAACCTTCATGACTGAATGTCCTCAGACAAGTAAAATAGTAGAATAGGAATACTAAAATATACAACATAGAATATATAATTTGAACATGAAAAAAAATACATCTAAATATAACACGAAAATGAAATTTCAAGTTACAAAATAAAACATAAAAAAAAAACCCCATTAAACTAAACTTCAAAATAAATGTAAAATAAAATAGAAATCATATTTAGCAAAAACACAATGGTAGATAAAATATCAAAAATAAAATAAATACATTTAAAAATATTTAAAAAATAAATAAAATATAAATAAAATGCTACAAAACAATTAAAATATGAACACAAAGAGAAAATACTCAAAATCAAAAGTGAAATAATTGAATCAAATCAACTTAAAACATCAAACACAATATATCACATTAAAATGATTGTAAATTAAAAATAAAATATTCAGTAGAAAATTATCAACAGCAGAGCCCGTTTCAAAATCTGTATCCGCACTGACAATACATCATCAAAAAATAATGCATGCAACCAATCACGATGTCCACCTTTACACAGCAACTCATAATCTTCCCATTGTCTTACATTTTCAATCTCCCAAGTATCGACATGTTAAAGGGGAGTTTTTTTTTTTTTTTTTTTTTAATAAAAGTTATGAGCACAATGACTTATGAAGTCAGCCAGTTTTGCCGAATGCGCACTCCTCACTCTGCCACATTAACAGGCAACCGCCAAAATGAGAAGTCAAGAAATTTAGCGCCTCAATATATTCACGCAAGTGTTTAATAACCGATGAATTTGTCTGGCTAATACAACTGGTCTGGCATAGCGACACACAAAATATAAATGAGACCATTTCTGATCCCTCTGGTCATTCTCCAAAGTTTTTCCAGTGCTCAAAATGATGACTGGTCCCTTTTGGTGCGGCGGGCCAAGTGCCATTACTCTCATCTCGCTACGGGCGGTGGTGACTTATGGCGCTGACTCAGCTCCTCATTATGGGTCTTCGTTTCCTGTTTCACGGCTCGCGGGGCTAATGTATGGACACTGGGTGCTCAAGGTTATTTCTCGGTGCAACACTTCATTAACCTCCCACTAACACGCCGGTGCACATGCAAGTATGCGCGGTGAGTCATATGACATGCCCCCCCCCCCATCCCTCCCCACCTTTCTTCCAATGTGAAACCTGACCATGTAATGAAGAAGAAAACATTTCGGTGTGAATGTGTGTCAGCGGTGACATAAATCAGAGTTGACCTGAGCAGAATGATGTTATCAGTGCTCGGTTGGTGTGTTTAAAATGAAGTAAAAGACCAGTCGAGCGCAGACCTCCGCCATTGCCAAACCATCCTTAACATGTCCGTCTGATCTTGACCGAGTCAATTTGTGTCATTTAGTGAATTAAGTAAGCAATTTTTTTTTGATGTCATCATGCATGAGTCTGTTGACAAAATAACAAAGCCCTCATCAAGACTTAGAATTTAAAGGTATGAGTTGATGTAGTTTGTCGTGAACAATTTATTATTACATATGTAGGCCTAGCTCTAGATAAAATAGTGAGGCATGTTGTCTCAGCAAACAAAATGAACACCGGGATAGCAGTCACTTAAAAAAATAGCCACACTCTCGAGTCCCCAATGTAGAGATAATGTGATTTAATTGATGGTTGTATATTTCAGCCAGAAGTAGAAAAGCGTGTAGTCTTGGTGCCCAAGATGCATGCAAGTACGGTCAGCATCAGTGGGCAATCAAGGCAGCCCCATAAAATAAAAAAAATCCAAACTCCCCGTGCTCATGTCCAAACTCTGCATACTTTGTCTGACAGTTAAATTACAATTCAAATTTTTGATGAGCAGTTGGGCCTACTATGCTACTTTATGGTATTTTAATGTAGGTCACTACGGTGATGTGTACAGAGATACATATTTGGGACTTGGTGTAGAAAGTTTAAAAATGCCTTGCCAATGTGGTGAGTATCAAGTAATTGTGTATAGATTTATGAGTTTAATAAGCAGTGGAGATGATTCACCAAAAATATTTTTTTCATGATTACATCAGCAGATGAAAAATTATTCACAAAATAATTACCGAACTAGATAGCCCTTATAATTTTTTTTTTTTTTTATTTGACGGGCATTTTTTGTGAACCTATAAAGTGAACCTCCTTCATCAAAGGGGGAACATTGCAAACCCAGCCTCAATGGAGAAATCAAAGATATGGAGAGCCCATGTAAAAAAGAAAAAAGAGAAACAAAAAGTCTTGTTTTAACAGTTCAGTTATCCTCCCGCATGCTTTAAACACATTTCAGTGTTTTGTTTTGTTTTTTTTTACTGTCAATAAATGACTGAAAAGGGCATCAGGGATTATGGCTCTCCTTTCCCAGATGCGAGAGCATGACAGAAGAGGCAACTTGAATTTTTTTTTTTCGACGGCAGAGATAAGTAAGTGCACTCACACTCTCCGCTGCTCTCTCCAGGCGGGTGGTAGAAGGAGAGGCCCAGCGAGATGAGGGCGGCGACCTCCAGGATGATGAGGGTGACGTCCTGCAGGGCCTCCCATACCAGTTGCAGGAAAGTTTTTGGCTTCTTTGGAGGTATCAGGTTTTTCCCAAATTCTTCTTTCCTCTTGTCCAAGTCACCTTGAGCACCCGTGAGTCCTGAGACAGTGAAGAAATGCAAAGAGGATGGTCAGGAAGAGGACAGAATGACTGCATGTGGGGGGGAGCATCTAGAAAGGACCCACTCAAGATTCAAAGCATACCACGTTGTGTGCTATGTGTTGGGCAATCTACTGCATCTACAGGAAGGAACCGCTCATGATCCTAAGAATAACACATCAAGTGTTTTTATTATCCACCAATCTATGTATCTGATAGAAAAGCTCCATCGTTCCAAAGTATACCACGTCATGCCAAATCCGTCAATGGAAATTCCTTCGCATTCATTCCTGCTCATACACCAAAGCGTACCGTATCGTGTGTTACCTATTTATCAGTCTATCTATGCAAAGGATACACTCTGTATCCAAAGCACAAAAATACAGCTGATTTGGCACCATGTAAATAAAACTGAATTGATCTGAATTCAGTCAATGCAACTGTCACTTACTGTGACGAGCACGCTTTGAAATGCCCTCACCTCCGTCAGATATATATGCTCAAGTCCCATCAACACAATATAAGAACTACAATACGACAGCATTCCAGTTCACTTTATTCTGCTATGCAGAAAATTTTGACACATAAATCCACAAGCTGTTATTCATTAAAATAATTATAACAAAAGTATTTGTTGTAATTATTCTATTGCACGTTTTGAAAGCAGCTACATTGTTACCAAAGAGGGAGGATAACGGCCCTCGAGGACTGGAGTTTGACACCTGTGGTCTGTGGTATGGAGACACTCGCAATCCACCACATACCACATATTGCACTATGTATCTACCTACATAGAAAAACGGACAGCTCCCATTCCAAGGAATACCACTTCATGTGCAAACGATCAATTTACCAATTGAAAGGTACTGCTCAGAATCCAAAGCATACCAAATCAGTTATCCCTCAATCAATCAATAAGTTGATTGAAAGGAACTGTGGGGAAAAAAAAAGTCACGATCCAAAGCATACCACATCACTGGCTATCTATCCTACGGAAGGAATGTGCTTCTCATTGTCGCCCCTTCGTGTGTTTGCACAGCAGCATTGTGCACCCTCACACAAGGGCAGACAGGAGCACGTCATGATGTCAAGCAGTCGTGCGTCACCGGGGTCTCCCGGCAGAGCCCCTGGATGGTACCTGGTGACGCGTCACATGTGCACCACATCTGCACAAAATAGCCGGTGAATGACAAGAGGGGGTGGATCAACCATCAAATAAGTACAGCTATGCAGAGGAGGCAGGGAAGGGGGGAGGGCGCAAGGAAAGCGGAGCATTCCAGGCTCCTACGTTGGAGAATGCCCTCGTTACAAATAGCTCTGTCTATAAATAGCTTCATTATCCATTCCCTTTTAATTGTCTCTGGAATAGGACCTAGCATGCTCTATCATTGAACTCACACAGCAGCAGCAGCCCGTCACGCATCAGACGTGTGCGTGCACGTGCATGTTTTGGTGGATCTCGGCAGCACGTGCTTAGTGTGTGTGTGTGTGACAAATAATGACCTTTTGATGTCCTTTCAGCCGCGGCGTCAATACACACATTTCCCCACTGCTTCAAAGGGTTTATTCATCCGCAGCAGAAAGATGTAAAATCAATAAATATGCAAATCTCCACATGGCCCACATTTCCACGCGGGAGAGGGAGCTAGTTAAAAGCGGCAAAACTGCACCAACCGCTGTTAGCCATCATTAGCATGGTTAGCGGTGATGCGGCATCAAAAAATAGAATGCGCCGCATGCATGTTAATGTTTGGGCTGCGGTGTGATGGGACTTCAAGGCTCGGTGTAACATCCGAGATTGAAATTTAACCGCGGTGCTGATGCAGTGACAACACTTTTTTTGTAATGTTGTTAAATGGAAGGTAAGGGGACCGTTTCAGGGTTGATTTGTTCTTGTGCAACATTGGAAGAAAACCTTTCAAGTGCTCTCTAAATACAGTTGAGTTGATTTATTTATTTTTTTTATGTAATTTTTTTTTAATGAGATTAAAGTCGTATTTTGAAAACGTGTGAGATGAGAATATATGTTTTTCAGATATTTCATATTTTTTTTCTTCATCAAAAGGATGACTTAATGATATATTTTCATTTAGCTAGTGGTGCCATGCGCCTTTCATTTACAGATAGGACATGGAGGTGTGAACAACTACTCTGAAGGAAGGTCTCAAAATCTCCAGAAGTCTCCAATAAAACCACAAATAGGCACAAGTTGCTTTTTTTCTTCTTTCAAACATAGCGATAAAGGAGTCTGAAAAGTTGCTAAATGTAGCCACAAAGCTAGCATAACTGATTAGCCCTCGCTATGTCACAACGCCCGTGCTTAGCCCTTGGTCATCATGGTCACAAAAAGCATGTGCATGAGACAAACATTGCTGTAATTATTATTTTTTTGTTTTATCATTAATGTATGAAGACTTTTAGATTCAAATGATAAAAAAAAATCATTACCTCTTCTTCAGCCCAAATTTGTTTTTATGAATAAATGAAGTTTTTAATTGGTTGTTTTTTTTCATGCGCTGTATAAGAAAGGTGACGAGCCAAAGAAGAAAAGCATTATTAGTGCTGTTTAAAGGCTGAGAGAGAGACGACTGCTGCTGTCTGTTCTCCCTCGAAACAGTTCAGGGCTGCTAATTCGCTGATCTGTCAAATGTTGCCGGCTCTGATTCAAATCTGCTGTGACATACGGCGCCTACCAAACATCCTGTTTCCAAATACATGAGACAGGGGACATGAAAACCAAGAAGAAGAAAAAAAACTTGCCTCGTTCGCTCTCTCACTCTCTGCATGAGGATTTTTGTCTCCCAGTGAGTAGGAACATGATGGCATATTTTAACAGTGGGCTAAAAATAGATCTCTATGGAAACACTATGCGTCCCACTCATGTGGAAATACCCGCAAGTCTAAAGCTTGAAGAAAGTGTGAATTAAGTCCGCGTGAGGTCCATATTTATTGGCATGTCCAGTCGCACTCATGTAAAAAGCAAGAAATGATAATCGGGGATTGAAATATGCAGTGACCTTGAAATGTCCTTGAAGAGCAGCAAAGAGATTACAGTTTATATTCAAGTTACTTCTCATGATATGTGTCGGATGTGCGTTTGATTTTTGTAACCCCCCCCTTCATAACGTGTGAGTCGTCATGGCAACAGGCCACCATGATGATCATCAACGCATTGATGGGAGAAAAGTGGAGTGAATCAATATGTCCGCATTCTCAGTCATTCTTTGAAAAGCGAGCTGGGAATAAAGAGCAGAAATGGTAGAGAGGCTTCAAGTGTGACTCAGAGGGGGAAAGTGTGAGCGAGAGCACACGGTGACAGAGAGAGTAGGCTGACTCTATTGTGAATAATAAGCCATCAGCGAGCGAGCGGCTAAAAGGTGGATAATTATCACGCTGCAGTTACGAGATGGCATGATGGAGAAATGTGTCACCATGTCCTTGATAGTGACCTACATCAAAACCGCAAGTATGGTACTAACCAAGATGTATTAGGGAACAAAAAATGGATCTACAGCAGTCAATCGCCATTTGGCTGCATCTTTTCCCAAGGACACTGACAGCAGACAGTCAGAGTTGAGAATCGAACTGCTGACCCTTCGGTCCCTGGACGACCAGCTGTATCAACTGAGCCACAAAAAATGAAATCATGAAAATAGATCAGGTTTTGACCTTGAAATGTGAAAACATTTTGTTTGAGGGCATCTTTGTCAGCAGCGAGGTGAATATATCGGCTCCTCTGTCAAAGAAGACACATTTGAGGCACCACGCTGGGCACTCCCATCATGCAACATAAATAAATGAAAGAGATGACACAAGGAAGGAAGTGGACCACACCCGACAGAACAGCAGGTCCACCCACATAAATATGCAGAAAGAATGAGCGAACGTCCTAATACTGTACACACACTTGCACAGATTGGAAAGATGAATGGATGGGTGGGTATATGGATGGATGGATGGATAGAGAGTGACTTGTTTGTGCGCAGCATGACATGGGGCCAGCTCAAGTTGATGTGTCATGACTTGCGTAGCAGCACTTCACATGCAAGCTTACACGGACCTGTGCACACACCGATGAGCAGTCATAGCTCAAGAGTACTCTAGCGTGCAGGCAAACAAGTACAAAAAAAACAACAAACAGAAGACTGTCATTCCATAGAACGCATACCTCAAGACTGTACCTTTTTTTTTTAAATTCCGGGAATAAATATGACATTTTCTCATTAAACCCCAAGACTTTTTATTCTTAAAAGGTAGTAGTCGATAGCTAGCCAGCTAAATAGCTTGCTAACAAAATAGCTCGCTATCTGATCTACGTCGCTAGCGTTCCTAGATTATTATAGATAGATAGATAGATAGATAGATAGATAGATAGATAGATAGATAGATAGATTTTTTATTCTTAAAAGGTAGTAGTCGATAGCTAGCCAGCTAAATAGCTTGCTAACAAAATAGCTAGCTATCTGATCTACGTAGCTAGCGTTCCGAGATTATTATTACATATAGATAGATAGATAGATAGATAGATAGATAGATAGATAGATAGATAGATAGATAGATAGATAGATAGATAACTGTGGCAACTGACTCATTTCCACTGTTTTTTTTGCGGCGCCATTTTGGTGATCATGTGATCACTATGTTGCATTGCTTTCAGAAAAATTAGCTCTTGTCTTGCTTGTTGAAAATGTGCTTTCTGCATCTATTTTTATTCATCACAACAGCTGTAGCTTTAAGAAAGCAGAACAGAACATTTAGCAGAAAATAACAGTAATAGAACAGAAAACGTAAGTTAAAACATTGACAAGAATACAACCAGTGGTGAAGCTAGACTTGTATCATTGTTGATGTGTTTCCAAATTTTTGTTTTGTGGGCCACTTGAGATGATGTAGAGTGGAATCTATTCTGTGGCTTCATCTTCAATTTGATTATTTTTATCCAGTATTTCGATGTTAATCACACACAAGGCGGGAAAAACTCATCTTTGACTGCCCAAAAA